TACATTAAAAAAAAAAAAAAAGGAGTAGTTGTCAGTGGGAAGATGGAGATTTATGCTTAGGCTAGGTTCAGACCTTAGCGATACACGGGACGCATGTCCCAGGGCAGCGTGATTGTGTGCTAGTGCACACAGCGGTTTCCACGCAGCCCCATTGATTTCAATGGGGTTACATCCGCACGGCAACCGCTAAAAAAAAAAAAAAGGTACAAGCTTTTTGCTTTTTTAGCTGCGATTGTGTTTAATTGCACGGGTGGAATCGCGACTGGGGTGCTATTAGAAAATAATGGCACCTCCAGCACGATCGGCTGTGGTGGGCGTCTCCGTGACCGCCAGGCAATCCGAACAGTTTTGTCCCATGAGTGCTGCGTGGTCAGGAGTCGCCCAGGTGTGAACCTAGGCTTAAAGTGACTCTGTTGCTGATGCAGACCCTGCAAAACAAGAACATTCCATTCCTCTGATCATTGCTCTATTGCAGAGCTACAGCATCTGGCAGAATGATTACCTCCGACACATCCTTGTCAGATATCTTCATCCCCTGCCGCGGTTTTATTTGCTGGTCCCTACCATGCTGTGTAGTGAAAGCAGGTAGAACCACAGCATGGGGTGGGGGATACAGACATCTGACACACCAGGAAGTGTGTCGGATATGAAGATTTTGTAGGTGGTTGTGCTCTGCAGGGGAACAGAGATACAAGGAAGGGTTTGTAGGACAAGTGAATATTAACTTTCTTCATTGATCTTTGAGAATCCAGTGTCCTTGTAACTTCCTGCGCACTGAACTAAAATCGCAAACAATGTTATCAACTTTCTCAGCTATTTCTGTGAACTCTAAACAATAGTGATCTTCGCCAGTACAAATGCAACAACAGCTACTAGGCACTATAAATTAAGAACAGCAAATATATATAACCTATCATGTGCCGAGCTAAAACAAAAATCAAATCAAAAGTGAACAATAATCAAACAATGTATACAATAAAAATATAAGGCTCTGTATATCCCCAAATAATATGAAAATAGTGAACAAAAAAGCACACCACTGTATCCTTATAGTGTCAAATATAGTTAAAATCCAATGAATTAATATATCAACACAGAATCCCAGTGGTAAAAATATTATCCCAAATACGGTGACAATAATCAGCTGAAAGGTGATCATCAGGAAAGATGCCGTGCACACAACTAAAAGTATGATCCAATCCACACCCATTGAAAAAAATGCAGAGGGATGCTCACCTAGGATAAAGTGCTGTTCCCTTCTTAATGGGGAGGGGCACCCTTAGAACGATCAATCCAGATCCAATCGATGCAAACCCACATGCAAAGTAAATCCGAAAAGAGACAAGCAACAACTCATGGCACGTATCATCCAACAAGATGAGATATTTATTAAGTAGCAAAATACTCAAACACATCTGATAAAATCGGCAAAGAAAGATATCCCAATGAGGGAATCCACAATGGCAACCAGAGGCAGAGAAAACCTTTCCCGTCCTTCCGGTCAGTACCTCCACCCACCCATTTCTGTGAACTACAAATTTCCTTGTTCCTTAATGTAAAGGAAATGGAAAGAGAGGGAGTTGTTTGTAGTTAGTTCAAACCAGGAGTACAGCCTAGGGGGACAGAGCTATCCCTCCATAGATCCAGTAAAGTGAATAAGTGTTGTCACCCTAGGACAGGAAGTGATCATCAGATAAAAATATAGGCTGCAATCTATGACATTTTTGTTTTTAGATGACTTTAACTCTCAAGCATCTACTAGTTGCTGAAACACCTGCACTATTACTATTTAGCAAATCCACAACAAAAAATGGAGAACATAAAAACTTTCTGAGCAGCACCCAAAACAGGAGTAAAACCCCGAGCCCAAGGGGTGTATTTATAAAGAATGTGCATTGCCATTCATCCTGTGAAACTGCCATATACGTTTGTTCTGTGAGAATGGGCCAAAAACGAATGTTATTGGTATATTTTCTTTCCAAACTGAATGGAAATCATTTATGAGGAGAATAAATGAGGAAAATACCTGATAACGGCCACTAGATGGAGCTGAGTATAGGAAATAGTTACTGCATTCTATGATCTTTGGCTCCATCTAGTGGCCATAATGCAGTATTTTCCTGATTCACTCCAAAGACTTACATTCCAACTGGACAGAAATGATACCAATAACATGGTTATACGAATGTATATGCAGTTTTACACGAGGAATGGCTCTGTGAATGTTATACAATACATTCCTGAGTCTACGGTCACACTTTTGCGTGTACATAATTATGCTTTTTTTTGTTGCATATTCTTCCTGTGTTATTTAATTTGGCCAATGAAGGTTGTCATGCATTAAAAACACACATAAATGCATGCAGGGATGGATTTCACACAAGGCCCGGCCTCAGGGCAGCAGAGGGGCAACAGGGGTGTGGAATTCCTATCTCCCGTGGCTCAGGACATGCAGTTCCGGGCACTGGGTAAGCAGTTGTTTTCTACATTTGACCCTCCTTTGGGCAAGCAGGGCTAAATGTACAGTGAGGAAGCTGCCGCTTGTTTAATACAAGCGATCTCAGCGATAACACTGAGGAGATCACTTGTATGCAGGCTGCATTCAGAGGGGCGCATTGAGGAACCTGGCCTTGGGGCAGCAGATAGAGTAAATCCATATAGGCATATAAAGACAACAAAAGAAGTGCCTGCACCATTTTCCGAGTCTCATGGGAGTGAAAATATTTGGATTCATTTGGTCGTGTATTGTCTTGAAGGACAAAGAACATGAGAGGGCACAGGTGTGAGTGCAGAGCCAAAAGCACTAGGCAGTCAGCACCAACATGCTTCTTATTGGTCCAAAAAAAGGACTTTGTTTCAGAACATATAAAATATTACAAAGTTGTATGCTTTCCATATAAAACCTAGAAGATGATATCTCTGTATAAGAAAGTTCTCCAAATTGTGAGTTGCAGCATCAGTAGACTAGAAGCTGGAGGAATGCAGAGCGATGTGAGTGGCGCATGCTCAGTACGCCAATAGGCTCCGGGGACGCGTACAGGAGCGCGCACGCAGCCTGTAGATGGGTCACAGAATGACAGCATCCTCTCACTAGGAAGAACGTTGCTCGATCGCTCTGAAACTTTAAGAAATAAAACCATCCCGCTACTAACCCCCTCGGGGTCTACAGCAGATCTAATTCAGCCCACCAATCGCAAGCTTCGGAGCTGACAGATCGCCGATCCGACCAATGAGAAGCCAATAAGGACAAGACAGTCGCTGTCACCTCCTTATTAATAGAAAGCGGTTCGCAGGAGGCGGCCTGGACGATAATCCTAGTCGGTGACGATTACCATGATCCGTTTGGGGAGCTGTGTTGTGCTCAGAGATTTGCTCCTTGCGGGATATCGGAGGCCTTTAATTGACAGGTCTCTCCGCACTATAGCAGCTGCTGTGCATGGAGTGGAAGGAGGAGGAGGGAGCGGCACGAACAGGCTGTGGATGCCCGCTACAGGGACACCTTGGAGCCGGCGCTTCTGCTCCAAGTCTGAGGAGCCCTCCGAGAATGCGGCTAAGATGTCTCAGGCAGAACAAGACGCCGCCGTCCAGGCTGCGAAGGAGGAGAAGTAAGTGGAGGTGTCCATGGTGGGCTAATTCCCCCGAGTGTATCGGGTGGAGGGTGTGCCGTGACGTCACACGGACTGTGTCAGCTAGGGGATGGGGGTAGCATGCAGCGTGGTGTAGTATTACATGTGTGCTCCGAACCATGCCCCACCCCCGTCATCACATGTGGACTCGGCCAAGTATCTTATGACAGCACAAGGACTCTAATCATAAAATAATTCCCTCAGTTTACATGTGTGTGTGTGTGTGTTCTGTGAGATCAGAACGTCTGTATCAGGGTGACTTGTATTTACAGATCATTAGGGCAGCCATTGTACTCATGTTTACCTTTTATCATAGTAAGTATATTTATAGGGTGGGCTTATGTCTAGAGATTCGAAAGCAGAACTCCAGGCAATTTTTATCCTTTGCAGTAAACCAAAAAAACTGACCTTGCAGTAGGACTGGCCCCGCACTGAAAGGGTTGTTTTTTGCATAGGGCATCAGAGTAAAGCACTTTTATTTACCTGATTCCCGCTTCCCTGGTGATCAATGTTCACCTTGGCTCCCATCTGCTTTGGCTGTGGATTGTCACATGGTGTCCTGTTGTCTAATGCGGGTATATGGAACCTGGAATAGATGTGAGGATGTCAGAGGGCCTCTGACTGCTGGAAAGAGGCTGCGGGCGCTGGTCTCAGAGCCAGTAGGAGAGGGGATCAGGTGAGTAAAAGTGCTTTATGGGAGAGGGGATCAGGTGAGTAAAAGTGCTTTATGGGAGAGGGGATCAGGTGAGTAAAAGTGCTTTATGGGAGAGGGGATCAGGTGAGTAAAAGTGCTTTATGGGAGAGGGGATCAGGTGAGGCAAAGTGCTTTATCCCAGTCCCCTAGACAAAAACGAGCACAAAACCCTTGCAGTGTGGGGGAAGCTCCACTGTAAGGGTAGTTTTTTGTTTTGGTTTTTAATTTGCCCAGAGATAGGCTTTAGACCTCATGAGGTGTATGCCTCTTTAAAACAATATTAGGCATTATGTAGCTGCCAGTAACGTACCTCCAAAGTTGTGCACCCCACTAATGCCTCCTGCTTTGTTCCTGAAACCTGTGAGATTCATGTACACCCTGACAATGATGTAAGTGCTGACTTTCCATCGGTAAAACTGAAAGTCGTGGCTGGAGCACAGCGGATCTCTCTCTCTCTCTCTCCGCCCACCCCCTTCTTTTAAACAATACAAGGTGTTCTGTGATTGGAAAAGGGGCACATGAATGTCACAACCTCCCCTTGTCCAATCACAAAACGCCTTGTATTTGAAATTAAGAGATTTTAGGAAACGCTGAGCTATTGTATTCTGACAGCGGCGGATGTGCTGCTGTCTGAATACCTGGACATTGGCTGCAGCCACTGTTCAGCAGAGAATTTTAGGACTGACTGCTTCTACAAAAGTCAATTGCAGAGTTGACTTTTGTTGAAGAGAGGGGTTCTGACAGGGGGAGTTCCAAGTAGCTTTAATCGGAGCTTACCCATGGCTGAGGATTTTCTTCTCATTTCCATGTGACAGCATATGACTCGCTTCCCTTTTACATGAGAGGAAGGGGAAGGAATCGCATGCTGCTCTGCACCCGGTAGTATTGGGGATCTTATTTGCCACCAACATGTTAACTGAGCGAGAGAATTAAACGTAAAATACAATGAGGGGTATTTATCAAAACCTGGAGCAGATTTGCTCTGCAACCAATCAGCTTATATCTCTCATTTTCAAATCTTAGCTGAGTAAACTGAAGAGAGGCGCTGATTGGTTGCCATGGGCAATTGCTCCAGTTTTGATCAATTTCCCTCGCTGTTTTTCTTAGTGGAAATGCAGCATTAGATTTTTCCCTTCAAAGCTCTGTGTTGGCATAGATGAGAAGCAGCGGAACCCGTCATCACAGGTGTCCTCAGAGACTAGAACTGGAGAAGAATGGGGGTGTATCTGGCCAGGTCTGTTAGATGACGAGGTACATTGGGCAGGCTGGTAATTGTGGTACCTATTAGATTGTATATTCCCATTTAGACACACTGCCAGTGCTAGAATGGGAAAGTAGAAGTAAAGCTGGCTATACTGCTTAAGATTTTTCTCCTTCAGGCCTGCAGGCTGATCAAGACAGATCTAATAGATCCCCCATCCATTCTAAACAGTGTGCATGAAGGAATCTTCCATGCTTGCTATTGTATTCTGACAGACGGTGCCCACAGCTGTCCGAAAACTCAAACGGTGACTGCAGCTAATTGGCTGCAGTCACTTTTCAGTCATCATTTTTTCTCCTGACCCCTGACTATTGAAACTATGAAAACGAAGGTTATTGGTAGAATGTCTTATCTGACACAATACAGTGGGGGGAATTTATCAAAACCGGAGCACAGAAAATCTGGAGCAGTTGTGCATGGCAACCAATCAGCTGCTCCCGTTTTTGTCTGCTCCGGTTTTGATAAATTCCTCTCAGTATCTATTTCTGTGACTTCAGATTGGCTTTAGCAGTCATCTCTCATTGGCGGGGAGTTGTAAATTACAGTTTTGTTTGGTGTTAGTCTGAGGCTGTGAATGGGCAGTGACTGACTCCATGGGTGGCCAAAGCTGAATTCACATCCCGCCACCATTGTTTGCAGGCAGCCTCATATGTAGGTGGAGTTATTGGGGTTCTGCACTATGATTTAGCTAGTTATGTGGATATTTAGAAAACCTACTGGTAATGGGACCTGATGACAGGTTTGGGAATCAATGGCTTACTGACATGACTGCTGTCATGGACATCAAGGCCCAGATTTAGACCACGTTAACATGTTTTATACGCGCCCCAGACTCCCGGGTCGCCCACGCTCCCCAGTCTCTGGGGACTCCCAATGCACCACAGTTCATTGGGTCGCCCACGTGCCACAGTCTCTTGGGTCGCCGGCGCGTCAGTCTCTTGGGTCGCCGGCGCGTCAGTCTCTTGGGTCGCCCTCACTCCTCTGACCAACATCTACATCACTACTGTGACCTCTATGATGTGGAGGTCAGCAAGAGGAACTAGTGAGAGCCGCAGGGAGCCCAGGAGAACGACATTCCCAGAATGATCACTTACCCAGCAGATTTTAGGGGTCGATCCCTCGGCAACGGACTGGCATTCAGCAGCGCAGGCAGAAGGAGAGGTAAGTTATGACCCTTTCTTTTCAAGTCTGTATTGGCGACAGGGTCATTTAAAAAGCCAGCAATGAAGGGTGGAATGGACCATGGTTACATTGTAAATATTATTGATTTCTGCAGGCACCAAGCGTATTGTGAAGTATGGCGTTATTGATAAATAGAGATTGGAAGTAGATTCCATACAATACGACAGCAATATACAAGCCGTGTATATATAAACAATATACAATGCAGTAAATGTCACATAAATGCATTTCACTTTCACCTTAGGCCTGTGCTGTTGTTCAGTCATCCCAGTCTAAAGGATCAATAAAGTTCTCTTTATGATATCACATAGGCAGCGAATGACACCGAAGCATTCTTCTGAGCCATGACAGATTGTAGCATTGAAATCTTAAACATGCCGGAGTAATATTGTTATATGACAGCCTAACGCTGCAGAAATCGTTCTGCAGAGTGGCAGCTGGCTTATTCACTGAAACCTTCTCTCCTCTGAATTGGAGTTGAACCAGTGTGGCAATGTATTATTTCTCGCATCTCAGCGTTTGGTCATGCCTCTCCCAACAACACTAAACTGGTGACACTAAACTCAGGAATACATTCAAGTAACTTAACTATTAACAAAAATGTATCTTATTTTTGCTTCCTTCTAGAGGGTGGCTACTTTTGCTCCCCATGGTCACTGTGTGTGTTGTAAAGTAGTTACCGCTCCCAGCTCGCTCTCATGATCAGATCTCTGTTTCATCAGCTTCTTCAAGGGTGTCCTAGGTGACATGGGTCTTGGAGACCCCTGGTGTCTCCATAAAGAGGACCTGCAACCCCTTTTGCTATCACATAGAGGGGTTTCTTAGCCCCCTCTGTGATAGCAATAAAGTTTAGTGAAAAAAAAAGGGGAAAAAATTTAAGTCCCCCCCCCCCCAATTTTTTTAAAATTACACATAAATTACACATGCGTCAGGTGCGCATACCTGTGAAAACGACGATTGCGCCCATTACGCCACACATGTTACATATCGCCGCAAACGTTGCAGTGAGAGCAACAATTTTAGGGTCATCAATCACTGATAACACTAAACTGATGAGCTGTAAAAGCTTTTAAAGCGGCGTCGCCTATGGCCAATTTCGGGTATGCTAGTTTTTTGCGCGCAATTTTTAAGCTTGACATGTTTGGTGTCTATTTACCCGACGTGACCCCGTATATTTTACCAAAAAAGTGGGTAATATTAGTTGTTTTATAACATAATGTTAAAAAAAAACTTTTTTTTTTTCAAAATTTTCAGTAATTTCTCCTGAATATAGTAAAAAATAAAACCCCCCCAGTGGTGATTAAATACCACCATAAGAAAGCTCCATCTGTCCCAAAAAATGGTATAAAATTCATTTCAGTACAGTTTTGCATGACGGAATAAATGTCAGTCAAAGTACTGCAGCGCTGAACACTGAAAAATGTCCTGGCCAGGAAGGGGGTCTAAACACCTGGTCTTCAAGCAGTTAATAAAGGAACAAATAAAAGCCAATATAGATTCCTCGCAAGGAGAGATAAATGGCGAACCATCTTCCCTATTAAAGGAGAACTATGAGGTGAGTGCTTTTCACTCGCCTCATAGTTCTAGCCTACCTGTGACAATGAGACTGTCACAGGTCGGCTCATTAGATCGGCAAGTGAGCGAACACATACCGGCGTTCGCTCACTTCTCGATCCTGACAGGGGCGGGCACAGCTGGCTCTGCCTCTAGATTGACAGCTGGCTCTGCCTCTCAGCTGGGCGGATCCAGACATAATTGTCGGGATCCGCTTCAGCTGCGGCGTCTTAGTATACCACAAGCTGTAGCTTGCAGTATACTGAGCTTAGGGTGACGGGAGGACGC